AATTTTTAAAAGATAACCTATTAAATGACACTGATATTGGCATAGATGTTTCACATTAACTATGATAATCAGGTGCTGAAATTATTAAAAATATAATATCAATATTTGATCTAAAATGGGTTTCAGTGGGACATTTTACCTAAAATCTAAGCTGTGCAGAGTTAAAATTCACACATACTTTTCTACTTCTTATCTAACTCAGTTTAATCCAATTTATTTTACATTTTCTACAAATCAGTAAAATTAGACAGTCAATTAAAATTTCATGGTCTACAGTATTATCTTTAGACAAAACTGGGAGCAATACTCTAGTTAATAATCTAACTATAAAAATAGCAGTATTGCTCTAGTTTCAGGAATAAGAAATTTTAATTGCCCAATGTCCTAATTTTTTGTAGTTTAAGAAATTTAGCTATTGCTAGTCTTCCATATCCTCAAATTTCATGATGGCCTGTGGCTGATATAAACAAAAAATGAGAGCCTTCTCATTTCCTAGTTCCACAGTGGAGGCTACATAGATAGCTCTACTTTCTATAGGCAGACAAAGTACATACTGGATATGTATTTGCTTAGTTGTTGCGATAAAGTGGATGATGTGAATGCTCATGTCTATTCTATTTATGAAGTTTAAATGAATGGACAGCACATGCAACCCAGCAAAGCAAGGGTGAAAAGATTTCCTATTGGTCTTCAGGTAGTTCCTTAGAATGACACAGATCTGACACCTGGTCCAGGTGAGTGTATGAGTTTATTTAAGGTCATCTGTCTTCCTGAGGCTTCATCACCACAGCTCCTCAAGTAGGCAACAGTGTAAGTCAGGCAAATGGGCAGGGCCGCACTTTTATTCTCGGGGTCTGCCTCTCACATTCCCAACAGGGGGAGATTGCAGGGTTGTACGTTCAGTCATGCCATGGAGCCTGCTTTCAACTCCCTGGTTAACACTGACATGTGTATGCATGTTGGTGGCTCCGTTTTCCACATGTTCCATTTTCTAATGCCACTGTGAAATCTCCCAGGGTCACCTGACTGTCAGACATAGCTTGTATTTCTGAATTTCTACCTTTTTATGCTCAGAATGCAGTTAAAGGAATAGTGTGGTCCCTCACTGTACTCACTATTAATTTTCTGTTGTTAAATGGTTATAATACATCTGCACATGTAAATGTCTTAAAATTCTAATATTATGGAACATTTTAAATGCAAGTGCCTTAATTTGTGATTTAGTCATCTAAATAGAATACTAAGCTTCGGTAATTTGGGGAAATTTTTTTCTATTCCATTGTGTAAATAATTGAACTACTCTAGTTAAGTGGAAATTTGAGAAGAAAGGCCAGAGAGAAAGGGTATGCTCATTGAGCTGTGGAATGATTATAGAGGAAGAATTGTGGAGGAAACACATACCTCGTAAGGCAGGTATCAGCTCAGAGAGGCCAAAACTAAGACAGTCCAGGGGCTGATCAGCATGAGTGAATTAAAGCCACAGACGTCCTGCAGGGCGTGGACACACCAGGCAGGGGTAAGAACCAGGTGAGAGTCAGAAACTCTAGTCTGTGACATGCAGGAAACAAAGGCCAAATATTAGTATCAGGAAAGAGTAAGAATAAAATTAATCAGTGGCACGTAATTAATTCAGTTCCCATAACCACCTTAGTACCATTCCCAAGATGAAAATGAGAGACTGTGGATGGTAGAGTTAAATGCCAAGGACACAGAGAGGAAGTTGCATGTATTCAACAACTGGTCTTCGGAACATACCTTTCAGGTCCCTCTGTTCAAACTACACTGTGACCCAGAACTCTCTCCTTTCCTTGTTGCTTCTGTTCAAGAACTTGGGAAAGTGCTTTGATTCTCTAGCACAGTGGTTCTCAACCTTCTGGCCCTTTAAATACAGTTCCTCATGTTATGACCCAACTATAAAATTATTTTCACTGCTACTACATAACTGTAATGTTGCTACTGTTATGAATCGTCATGTAAATACCCGATATGCAGGATGGTCTTAGGCGACCCCTGTGAAAGGGTCGTTCGACCGCCAAAGGGGTCGCGACCCACAGGTTGAGAACCGCTGCTCTAGCAGGACCAGAAACCGGTTCATCAAAAACTGAGCGAGGGACTGCGAATGAGGAGTCAGACTGAGTACTAGGCATGTAAACAGCTTACAGCATTCAATCCCCATTGCTCAGGGACACAGATAATATGAACATTTATGGGTTAAAGAAAGGACAGAACAAAACTTCTTTATTCTTATATACATTTTTGCATGCTGATCATATGAAAACAAGATGGCTTCTTACTTAGAAATACAGCGGGGCCTTGACTTACGAGTTTAATTCATTCTGAGACCAAGCTCGTTAAGGAGCTCGTTAACTCAAATTACTCTATCAACTCAATGGAAAAAAATCGGCGGAGAGACAGCTGGTATCTCAAAATACTCATTAGTCGGGACACTCGTAAGTCAAGGCCCCATTGTAAAGGTAATCTTTATAAACTGAAGTTCGACTCATAATGAATTGATCCATGCTTCTCAAATTTTATTGTGCATCCAGTCACTGGTTATCTTGATAAAATGCAAAGTCTGATTCATATTCTGAGATTCAAACACATAAGACTCTAGGACATCTAATGACAATTCAGCAGAAACTAATTCTGTATGTTAACTCATAGTTAACATATTAGTTTACCGCGAGTAAGGTGAGGTGATTCTAGAAAGAGCATGCATGCCAGAGATAATCAGAGATGACCTTCCATCCCCTCTCTAACACAAATTCACTATTTAGTCGTAGATGGATTTTAAATGTTTTGTCAGTCTGCCTTCTCAGTACTTCAGACATCACTAGGCACTTGAAAAATAGTGATTAAAAGTCCAAAAGAAACAAACAGTTTTAATGATGACAATTTTAATTCAATTTAACAAACATTATTGAAATGCTAGGAGCCTGCAAAGGGTGATTATGAAACTACCGTTAACATGACTTGTTCCTTTCTGAAAGTTAAGGGGAAAAAATTATATGATAAACATTGGCATTACTAGTTGGGAAATTTGTCTGATGGCCTTTAGGTATATTTTTTATTCATTTAAAATATTTTATTAGCCAAAATTAAATGTTTTTATGTTGCTCAAAATTCTTAGTTATTCTTACATTTGTTGGTAAATCATGCACCCACATGCTTCTCACTTTGACCTCTTCTAATTAAATCAGAGAAACTGTATTTGGCCAGATGTGTGCTGCATAGTATAATAGCTTTGTTACTGTGTCAACAATTGTAGGATTTGATTGTTGATGCAAATTGGGACCAAGAAACTAGATATTTCAGAAATTAAATAAGATACCTAATGTCCGCTGTTGGGGAGTATTCCAAGATAATGACTTAGGAACAATCTGACTATGTACCATGAACTATTCTAAACCCAGATACGGTCCCTTCCTCTAACCTGAGGACAGAAAGCAGAACCTGTCACTAGTAATAAACCCAACAGCAGCAGCTGGTTTTATAAAAGCTATAGTTGGCTGATATTTGCTGTGTTTCAAATCTGGTAATTAATTATATTAGTTACATTGCATGTAATACACATACTAGAAACAAATATGTTTGCAATGCAACAAATACTGTTTTGTTATTGTTAATGGATGTGGCATGCATACCAACCCTCTTGCCTCTCTCGCCTTCAGAACTATTGGCATTAAAATTTGTTTACATAGTCCTGGTAGGGTGGTGCAGTTGGATGGAGCATAATTCCGTACACCTAAAGGTTGCAGGTTTGATCCTGGGCCTGGCAGCGCACAGGAGGCAACCGATCCATGTTTCTCTTTTTTTCTCCCTTCCTCTCTCTCTAAAATCAATAAAAACATATTCTCAGGTGAGGACTAAAAAAAAAAAAAGAATAATAAACCAACGAATGCATAAATAAGTGGAACAAACTGATGTTTCTTTCTCCCTCTCTCTCTAAAATCAATCAAAAGAAAGAAGGAAAGGAAGGAAGGAAGGAAGGAAGGAAGGAAGGAAGGAAGGAAGGAAGGGAGGAAGGAATCTAATTTCAGAGTTTCCCCTATTACAACAATCTGATGTTTGCTTTTGAGTATTTCTGAGTTTCATCCAGATAGAATAAGAATCATTTTATGAATGATTGGGACTTCTTAAACAGCTACCCTTCCATTGTGACTGTATGATTATATGCATTTTAGGGACATTTCATTAGGTCTGATTTATGAAGCCTTCATCTTTCCACTCCACTAGGCCACATAACCAGTGGAGGGGGGGTGGGGTCTTTGGACACAGAACCCTGTGGATGGCCCTAAGGCACTAGCACTGGCAAACTTTGTCACGGTTGAGGTGGAGCACACTGTTGTTTGGTGGCTGGAAGTGATAAATTAGAGCAGGTTTACAAAGTCAGCAAACTGGCTTCTGTTTCGCTAATACCACGTTCACCTTTCACCAGAAAGTCGCCTTTTCAAAATGCACAGTGAATAGTTGCTTTTGCTATTCTTCAAACAAATGGGCATTGCAGCATCTAGCACTCTTCTGATTTTTTAAAAATCTTTATTGTTGAAAGTATTACCTATGTCCCCTTTTTCCCCCATTGACCTCTACCAGCCTGCCCCGCCCCCCAGCCCAGGCCTTCACCCCCTGTTGTCTGTGTCCATGGGTTATGCATATATGCACACAAGTTCTTTGGTTGGTCTCTAGCTCTCCCCACCCCCGGCCCACCCTCCCCCGCCTTCCCTCTGAGGTTCCACAGCCTGTTCGATGCTTTTATGTGTCTGGAAGGCAACAACGACCTCCCAGGTTAGGGCATGAGAATAATCACCTGTGTCAGGTCAAAAGCAATGGCCTTTATTCCAGTGCGCGGAGGCCAGCAGGCCTGCGGGGAGGACGCGGTACCGGGAGGCGAGTGTCACTGGCACCTGGCGGGTTAGGAACGTGTTGGATGGATGGACGTGATCGGTGAGGACACCCATTGCCGAGAGCCCGCTCCCATCAACCACATCTTTTCTCTCTAGAGTGTTTGTCTTGGAGGACGGCAGCCTGAAGATCCAGAATGCCAGCAGGTCGGATGCCGGGCCCTACACCTGCATGGCCACCAACCCCTTCGGGGTGGCAAGGAGTACTGGCGGCCTCGTGGTGAAAGGTATGTGGTTCCCGTCTGCAGGCAGACTGGAGAGGCATGCGCACACGCGGCCTCGGTCGTGTCTAACCCACATCCCATTGTGTATGGGAGACGTTTGATTTCACGATTTATTGAGATGTGTCCCAGGTTCCTTAATAACGTGCTCTCTGCCAGTGGCAGGCCACGGCTGAAGGGAGCTCATTGGCAGTGGAAATGCTCTCAATGGGTAATAAAAGTTAAATCCTGCACCTAAATATCTGAATTTCCACGGATGCCTCAGTGCAAGAGCTGGGTGGGGCGGAGATATTTTGATCAAGTCAATGGATACTATTTCTTTTGGTTAAATGTCCTTCAGAAACTCATTTTGTATGAAAGTTTTACCTGCATGTGAGGCTGCTTGGTGCATCACCAGTGCAGGTATTTCTCTAACCCCGGGTACTTAATTGGTGAAACGCAGGCTCTCTCGCATACACTTTAAGGAGCAGGTTTATCAAAGGGGAGACAATTAAAATATCAGGGTCGGTGCAGGTCGCTGTTGTGTCCCGTCACGGTAAACAGACACTCACACAGTCCATTCTTCAGCTTCCACCCTGGCGTCACTCCACACGCACCCTGTCCATCGCCCAGGGACACAATTAGGGAAGAAGTGTCTACTCCCCGACTTTGCCATGTCACTGTGTTGAGCCTCAGCTCATAAAACCAGCATGTTTACTGGGACCATGTCGCTGTCATGGTTCCACCACCTCCTGGATGATAAAAATGACGGTCTTGATAAAGCAGTTTGAGCAGCTAATTAAGCCTAAATGATTAAACTCAGCCATTGGTGCTTTATCATCATTTTTATTAAGAATAAATGTATTCCACAGAAAGGAATTAGCTGCTACATTCCAGCTATCCTTTAAGCTGCCTACAGAATCACTGGCAGGGGTTCTGCCCACATTGCCTCACACACTGTGCCTTTGTCTGAGACACTCGGGAAGTGCTGCTGGTGTCCACCAGGGGGCGCGATTTGAGGCCGTCACTTCATTGATATTGTATTGTCTTAAGGTTTCTAAGACAGAAGTGGACAGTGTTTCAAGGAGTGTCTGTAGCTACTTTAATAAAGGTGGTTTCTCCGGCCAATGTCTGGTAGTGTCCCTGGGCTGAGAAGTATAAGTGCTCTCCGTTGGAAAAAATAACATGCTCATTAAGGGGAAAACAAAATTTATTGCCTCATTCAAATTAAGAAGGGACCCAGCCAACATGGCTCAGTGGTTGAGTGTACACCTATGAACCAGGAGGTCAGGGTTCAATTTCTGGTCACGGCACATGCTCTGGTTATGGGCTCTATTCCCAGTGTGGGGTGTACAGGAGGCAGCCCATCAATGATTCTCTCTCATCATTGATGTTTCTTTCCTTCTCCCTCTCCCTTCCTCTCTGAGATTATATATATATGTGTGTGTATATATATATATATATATATATATATATATACACACACAAATTTTACAAGAGCTCAGGGATTAGTTCATTTCCAGCAGCAGGTTGGAACCTGGTCACTGCAGCTCACCTTCCCAGGATGAGATATCCATGGGGAGTCGTACAGGAAGGATGAAGGATGGGGGATGGCAGCCATAGAAATGTGATTTCTCTGAATTTCTGTGAAATACAGGGTGGGGGGTGAGGGGAGGGGAGCTGGACCAATGGTTTTGCTGCTAAAATGCAATGCTGGGAATCTGTTCACTCCAGAGAATAAGAAAAAAAAGTTCCTGGGTGGACTGAGCCGATGAAGTTCCTCTTCCTCAGATGTTTCTCAGGCCTTCGGCATCATGCTGCTGGCGGGGAGTCATTAACAGGAGGAAGAGAAAGGAGAACACTCACTCCTGGAGGAACTCCGGGACAGTGGGACTGTGCTTGGTTCTGAGGCAGGAAGTGGGTGTGTCAGATGAGCCACGTGGCCAGGCCTCTGCTGAGGCGGTTCCCAGCTCTTAGGATGAAGACAGTGGTCTTCACTGGGGCTGCTCCACAAACGACACCAAAGTCCCAGGGGCACCCCTTTCTCTACGAGTGAGAAAATAGCTAAATAGGGTTGCTCAGTGGGGAAAAAACAACTGACTCATGTTTTGCTTATTTCTGGTGTTTCTCCCTGGGGCTGTGGAAACAAATGATCCAAACAAATGATCCAAGTCGGCATTCTCGGTCGCCTTAATCTTCTCCACTCTTTCTTCTTCGGGCAATTTTTTCTTCTTCTAACAAACTAACAATTCTCTTATTTATTAGGTCAGCGATTTTTCCTCTATCTTCTCCTTCTTCTAGTAGAGAAGCATGAGGAAGGCAGGGATGGTCCCGGGGACTGTATGTGTCCAATAAATATTGATTGGTGGAGTGCAAGAGTCCCATCTTCCACCCCTTCCTTCACATAATTTCCACCTGGATTTCCTTGCTCTAGAATCTGAAAGATTTCAATGTTTCAGAGTTTAAGCTTCTTAGAATACTTTGCAATACGGGGCATCAAGCCCTGGCTGGTGGCTCACCTGGTTGGAGTATCATCCCATAATCCAAAAGATCATGGGGTTCAATTCCCAGTCAGGGCACCTACATAGGTTGCAGGTTCAGTTCCCACCCAGTCAGGGTGCGTATACGAGGCGACTGATAGATGTTTTTCTCTCTCTCTTCTTCCTCTCTCAAATCAGTACTAGTAAACATACCTTTGGATGAGAATAGGAAAAAAAAGAAGAAAAGTCTCCTATTGTCATACCCGCTTAATGAGACTCCTACCTGTAATTCCCTTTCATGTTAGAAGGTTGAAGGTATCACTGCCAAAGAATGATTACTTTACAACCTACAAATGTGAAGTGTTAATCTGAGAAAGAATTATAATAGTATGCATTGGTGCAACCATTTTCTTGACTATTAAGAGTGTAGTCAACTGGTTGTTTGTTAAACTGGTTTAGTGTATGTGCATGTGTGTTCTCATCTAGAATGTCCATCTGATTGTCATTACACAGTCAACTGTAATTATGTTTCTCAAACCCAAATCATCACATAGTGACCTACAGGGCGGTAAGGAGCAAATGAGAAATTTCAGTAAAGCTGACAAAACAATCATCTCTCTTTGAATTTCTTTATCAGCCTCAGTCATGCAAGACATGTTGTTGTTAGATAGCTTGTAAGAAGATAATAGTTACAAAAGGGAGATACTTTCCAGCTTAGGTTTTAGCTGATAAGGCTTATCTGTGTTTAGAGGGTTTGGAAGTTGTCTGAGCTGCATATCTGAGATTTCTGTTTCCCTGATGCACAGGGAGGAGGCCATTTCCACCCAGACATCCCAGCGTCCTTAGCACCAGCCTTTCCTGGGCGTGGAAGGCAGGGACATGGAACACGGGGGGCATGGAACAGGAGGGCGTGGAACACAGTGACATCGAACACAGGGACGTCTCCCATAGCACACACAGGGAGTGAGAGGAGAGAGAGCTTAGTGTTCTCAAGCTGGCAGACTTGGATTAGAATTACAGGGCGACGTACACTGCGAGTATATGAAGATCAAACCAGAGGGGGAATTATTCGATCTGGCGTTTGGAAAATTATTAAAAGCGGAGGAACAGCAGGCTGTGAAACGGCCTTGTTTGCAGGCGGCATTTGTTTTCCTTCCCCCACCGGAGAAGTTGGGGATGTTCAATTATAGGCCTCATTGCCTCAGCATTATTTTCAACAGAGACGTCGGAACTTGGAAAAGCATATCTAATGTGCGAATTAAGTTTATTGCTGTTCGTTTAGTTGTTTATTCTTCGTGCTAGAGTCCTCCTGACGCCAGCTAGGCCGGCTGTCCACACCCGGCGGCAGCAGGAGCCTGCGCACTAACGTGGGTCTCCGTTACGGAGAGAAACTCCAAGGTGGGTGGCAAGTGAGGCTTACGGGCCGGAGTGAGGGCCAGCTCCAAGGAGAAGTGGCTTCGAGTCCATCACCAGGACAATTTCATGGAAATGACAAGAATTCACCCGCCAACTTATGGATGGAAACAGCTTCCAGAGAAGTCTCCCAGTGCTGAGGGAGGTCACTGGCCCTGAAAAGGCTGAGTTCTCCACCCAATTCCCTGCCCAGCCCACTCTTAGGGGTTTCTTCTCAGCAGATTTCATACACAGTCTGGCAGTGCCCACTCGACATGAAATACTAGCTCTTAACTTCCTAGTTTTATTAAAAATAGATGGGTGACTGCTAGACTTAGCGGGGCAACCACATGGTAAGGCATAAAAACACCAAATCATTGTGAGGTACACCTGAAACAGATACAACCAATTAAGATTGTGTAGACCAACTATACTTAGATTAAAAAAAAACAAAACAAAAACACACAATTAAAAATAAGCAATTTAAAAGAACAAAACACACATGCAGCCAGCTGCCCATTTAGTCCCCGCGGTGAAGGTGTCGGAAGGACACGTGCCCCTGTCCGCAGTGCCCTCTGGAGCCCGCATCCCTCCCTGCGGAGCACTGGGTGGGGTTGGAAGGTGGGGCTTTCCATGACTCCATTCTCATGCGGGAAGACACACTCAGGCTCCCGTGTTAGTGCAATTCTGTTTCTATCTTTTTAAAAACATATTTTTATTGATATCAATGATGAGAGAAAAATCATTGGTCAGCTGCCTCCTGCACGCCTCCCACTGGGGATCGAGCCGAAACCCAGACATGTGCCCTGACGGGGAATCAAACCAGTGACCTCCTGGTTCATAGGTAGATGCTCAACCACCAATCCATGCGGGCTGGGCGAGATGCCGTTTCTGCAGGGCAAATGGCCCTTCGTTCTCCGGGGCTGTTTAGGAGGAATGTGTGTCATTCCTAGGAAAAGACCCTCAGACAGGAGTCTGGTTTCCAGTCTGGGTCCTGAAAACTCAGGTGGCAGGTTCTTTCAGGCCCAAAGAGGACTGGGGCTGGGGGAGGGAACCACCATCCCATGAATGAAACTTGCCTGGGTCTCCTCTCCTGGCATTTATCTCATTTGTCTCCCCGCACCCCAACGCAAATTCAGAGGACAGCGTCCTTTG